ATACACTCAATTAGTATTTGGGAGCATTGCCTTTAAATTGTTTAACTTGAGTCAAACGTTTTGTTTAGCCTTCCACAAGCTTCCCACAATATGTTGGGTGAATTTTGGCCCATTCCTCCTGACAGAGCTGGTGTAACTGAGTCAGGTTTGTAGGCATCCTTGCTCACACACGCTTTTTCAGATCTGCCCACACATTTTCTATAGGATTGAGGTCAGGGCTTTGTGATGGCCACTCCAATACCTTGACTTTGTTGTCCTTAAGCCATTTTGCCACAACTTTGGAAGTATGCTTGGGGTCATTGTCCATTTGGAAGACCCATTTGCGACCAAGCTTTAACATCCTGACTGATGTCTTGAGATGTTGCTTCAATATATCCACATAATTTTCCTTCCTCATGATGCCATCTATTTTGTGAAGTGCACCAGCCCCTCCTGCAGCAAAGCACCCCCACAGCATGATGCTGCCACCCCCGTGCTTCACGGTTGGGATGGTGTTCTTCGGCTTGCAAGCTGCCCCCTTTTTCCTCCAAACATAACGATGGTCATTATGGCCAAACAGTTCTATTTTTGTTTCATCAGACAAGAGTACATTTCTCCAAAAAGTAAGATCTTTGTCCCCATGTGCAGTTGCAAACCGTAGACTGGCTTTTTTTATGGCGGTTTTGGAGCAGTGGCTTCTTCCTTATTGAGCAGCCTTTCAGGTTATGTCGATATAGGATTCGTTTTACTTTGGATATAGATACTTTTGTACCTGTTTCCTCCAGCATCTTCACAAGGTCATTTGCTGTTGTTCTAGGATTGATTTGCACTTTTTGCACCAAAGTACGTTCATCTCTAGCAGACAGAACGCGTCTCCTTCCTGAGCGGTATGACGGCTGCGTGGTCCCATGGTGTTTATACTTGCGTACTATTGTTTGTACAGATGAACGTGGTACCTTCAGGCGTTTGAAAATTGCTCCCAAGGATGAACCAGACTTGTTGAGGTCTACAATTCTTTTTCTGAGGTCTTGGCTGATTTCTTTAGATTTTCCCATGATGTCAAGCAAAAAGGCACTGAGTTTGAAGGTAGGCCTTGAAATACATCCACAGGTACACCTCCAATTGACTCAAATTATGTCAATTAGCCTATCAGAAGCTTCTAAAGCCATGACATCATTTCCTGGAATTATCAAAGCTGTTTAAAGGCACAGTCAACTTAGTATATGTAAACTTCTGACCCACTGGAATTGTGATACAGTGAATTATAAGTTAAATAATATGTCTGTAAACAATTGTTGGAAAAATAACTTGTGTCATGCACAAAGTAGATGTCCTAACCGACTTGCCAAAACTATAGTTTGTTAACAAGAAATTTGTGGAGTGGTTGAAAAACAAGTTTTAATGACTTCAACCTAAGTGTATGTAAACTTCCGACTTCAACTGTAGTTGCAAAATTGCTAATTAGCTAAAATGCTAAAGTTATCAATGATGAGATTCGAACACGCAACCTTTGGGTTGCTAGACATTCACGTTATACACCTACCCATCCACCCCGACCAACCACCCTACTTCGTTTTTGCCTTAAGTAACCTTCTGTCACACCCTGACTCATGGGACTCTTGTATGTTGAGTCAGGGTGTGGATATTCCTGGATGGAAAGGGATCCTGTACATGGGAGGAGATTCAGGCTGGGATGGATCGCCGTCCTTGGGAGGAGACAGTGGAGGCCCGGTTTAGAGAGGAGCAACGGCAACACAGAAGGCACCGGCCGAGGAGGAAGCCCGAGAGGCAGCCCCAATATTTTTTTTGGGGGGGGCTAAAGGAGTGGTCGGGGAGCGAGAGAGAAGAGCCCCGACCACTGCACCCGGTGGGTTTCCAGATTGAGTCCATACGACCATGGGAAGAAGAGTGGGAACAGTTTTATACTGAGGAGTCGGAGGATGACAACGATGATGAGTTTCTGTTCCCTAACTCGTGGGGGCTCCCGGAGGAGTCCTCACTGGAGGAGGAGTGCCGAGAGAGAGAGAAGGATCGGATCTGCAGGGTAAGAGAGGAGGCCACCATATTACGGGGGCTGATAGCAAGAATAGAGCGGGAGAGCTCCATTCAAGAGGAGGCACTGCAGGAGGCTCGTAGGGAGAAGGAGGAAGTAGAGGCACGGAGAGAGGAACTGGTTACGCAACATAAGGAGCGTGGGTTAATAGAGGAACCCATGTATGCAGAGATACGCACTGTATCGCCAGTGCGCATGCACAGCCCAGTGCGTTCTGTGCCAGCGAAAGTGGGCAGCCAGCCAGCCAGGACGTGTTGTGCCGGCTCAACGCTCCTGGTCTCCAGTGCACCTCACCAGTCCTGTACGGCCCGTACCTGCTCCTTGCACCAAGCCAGTGATGTGTGTCCTCAGTCCGGCCCAGCCCGTTCCTGCTCCTCGCATCAAACCAGTGGTGCGTGTTCCCAGTCCGGCCCGGCCCGTTCCTGCTCCTCGCACCAGACCTGTGGTGCGTGTTCCCAGTCCGGCCCGTGCCTGCTCCCCGCACCAAGCCAGTGGTGCGTGTTCCCAGTCCGGCCCGGCCCGTTCCTGCTCCCTGCACTAAGCCAGTGGTGCGTGTTCCCAGTCCGGCCCGGCCCATTCCTGCTCCCAGCACCAAGCCAGTGGTGCGTGTTCCCAGTCCGGTCCGTTCCTGCTCCTCGCACCAGACCTGTGGTGCGTGTTCCCAGTCCGGTACGGCCCGTGCCTGCTCCCTGCACCAAGCCAGTGGTGCGTGTCGCCAGTCCGGCCCGGCCCGTTCTTGCTCCTCGCACCAGACCAGTGGTGCGTGTTCCCAGTCCGGTACGGCCCGTGCCTGCTCCTCGCACCAAGTCAGTGGTGCGTGTGTCCAGTCCGGCACGGCCCGTGCCCGTTCCACCGGAGCCGGAGCAGTCCGCTCCACCGGTACCTGATCCAGCTCCGGTCAGTTGCTCCACTCCGGAGCCAGAGCAGTCCGCTCCACTGGGGTCCAGTCCAGCTCCGGTCAGCTGCTCCACTCCGGAGCTAGAGCAGCCCGCTCCACCGGTGCCCAGTCCAGCTCCGGTCAGAGGCTCCACTCCGGAGCCAGAGCAGTCCGCTCCACCGGTGCCTAGTCCAGCTCCGGTCAGCGGCTCCAGTCCAGACCCAGACATCAGCCCCTCTCCAGGTTCGGGGTCTCCCACACCAGGGTCCAGACAGGGCTTGGAGTATCGTGGGAAGGAAGGAGAGGGGAAGCAGCGCGCCGAGGTCCAGACCAGACCTGGGGCGTAACGGGGAGGCTAAGAGAATGTGGTCGTCACGCCCGGAGCCGGATCTGCCTCCGAGGCGGAATGCCCACCCGGACCCGTCCCTGTCATGTCAGGTTGGTGCGGTCGGAGTCCGCACCTTTGGGGGGGGTGTACTGTCACGCCCTGACTCATGGGACTCTTGTATGTTGAGTCAGGGTGTGGATATTCTATGTTAGTTTTTCTATGTTGCATTCTAGGTTGTGTAGTTCTATGTTTGGCCGGGTGTGATTCCCAATCAGAGGCAGCTGTCGCTCGTTGTCTCTGATTAGGGATCATACTTAGGCAGCCTATTGGCATTCATTAGTTGTGGGATCTTGTTCCGTGTGTAGGCTTGTTTTGTGTTTAGCCTGAGGACTTCACATTACGTTGTTTTGTTCGTGTGTTTATCGTTTAAATAAACATGTATGCATTTCACGCTGCGCCTTGGTCTGACCCGTCCTTCAACGAACGTGACACCTTCTGTCTTATGTAACCATACCAAATGTAACATATTATACTAATTTCAGTGTCCCAGAATAACGTTTGCTGTGAGACAAGTCTGATGTCTCACACCATTGTTTGTTCTGGAATTTAGATTGGAATGAAACTAAAACCAGTGGTGGAAAAAGGACCCAATTGTCATACTTGAGTAAAAGTAAAGGGAAAGGGAATGGGGATACCTAGTCAGTTGTACAACTGAATGCATTCAACTGAAATGTGTCTTCCGCATTTAACCTAAAAATACCTTAATAGAAAATGACTCAAGTTAAAGTGAAAGTCACCCTGTAAAATACTACTTGAGTAAAAGTCTAAAAGTATTTGGTTTTAAATATACGGTACTTAAGTATCAAAAGTAAAAGTAAAAATCATTTAATTATATTAAGCAAACCAGACGGCACCATTTTCTTTGTTAATTTATTTACGGATAGCCAGGGGCACACTCCAACACGGACTCACTAAACAGCATGTGTGTTTAGTGAGTCCGCCAGATCGGAGGCAGTAGGGATGACCAGGGATGTTCTCTTGATAAGTGCATGAATTTGACCATTTTCTTGTCCTGCTAAGCATTCAGAATGTAATGAGTACTTTTGGTTGTCTGGGAAAATGTAAAAAGTACATAATTTTCTTTAGGAATGTAGTGAAGTAAAAGTAAAAGTTGTCCAAAAATATACATAGTAAAGTACAGATACCCCAAATAACTACTTAAGTAGTACTTTCAATTATTTTTACTTAAGTACTTTACACCACTGGCTAAAACAAACTAAAACAATTTTGTAATAGGGGGAACTGGAACCCATTCCAACATGATTCCACCTTTAAGTTTCATCCTGATAGTTGCCAGCACCCATACACAAACTACAGATTAGAGTCTTAGTACTGTGTAAAGTTTAAACAACGATTAGTAATTGAAAAAAGAGCACAAAGTAAATAGGCTTTACCAAAATAATTTATCATGTATTTGAAAAGGAGGTTCCACTTGAAGTGTCTTAATACCTTTGTATTTTCATGGTAGTTACATAGGTATGTTAGTACACTTTATTAGTACTTTTTGTGGTTTGTGTATTTATACATTTAACAATTTATATGTGTTTACTTTGTAAACAAAAACTCCTATCAGTTTATAAATTGTAGCTAATTTTGGGAAGTCAGGTGCATGTCAGGTTTTGTCAGACAAGGAACATTATTTCTGGTATTTCTTCTTCAACATTTGTACTATCCCTTTGTCTCTGCTCTCTGTTCCAGAGCTTATGTCCACTGTGACCTATCAGCAGCAACAGAGGGAGGAAGAGGAGGAGGAAGATGAAGAACAAGGAGAGAAGTTTGAGTTTGACGACAGTGCTGATGAGGAGAAAGACCCAGTGGAAGCCAGTCAAACATCAAACGAGTCATCTATGAAGGCCACAAGGCAACCACAGGACAATGCAGTAACAACACCCCCTTCACACTCACAACAGCACCTCAATGCAATGCCCCCTGCTGGTCAGGAAGACAACCCCTCCCAGGGACAAGTCTCCATGGCCTCTTCAGGTAAAGTGTTCTTTCTATTACAACACATTGTGAGTGACTCTTCTCCACTGGTCTCATAAGGTGCTGCCAGTTCTTAAAGGGATTTCATAATAGCTTCAGACAGACAGTCATAAAGAGAGACGGGTTCTAATTGGATAAAGAGCAGTGAAACTCTGGTTGATATCAGTATGCTATTGACTACCTGACTGAGTCATGTTGCCAAACAAGCTCTGTTAATTACACTCCTTGCTAAAGAGGGAGATTTAAATATATGTGAACTTCTGTCTGACAAAATTAAGTGATTAGTGCTTAGTTAAAATACTTCTCACAAAGCCTACTACGTGTAGTAATCCGTTAAGTGGGTTGTGGAGCATTTCTCCGCTGCACTGGGGAATTCTGGGGTTGGTGGAAGCTTGTTACCCAGCGGATGGTGGAGGAGACGGGCGTAAGGCTGGGACTTAGCCCTCCCAGGTCAGATGAGAGGGTTCACATTGTCTCTGGATAAATTAAATAATATTTTGGACAGGAATATCTTCCATAAAAGCTGATATACACACAGGACCTATATACTGCTCACAATAAAATTCCCGTGGTCTGTTTTCATCAGAGATTGTCTTCTTGGAGACACAGGACTGACCGCTCTATTCATAAAACAAGGTCAATTAAGATTAAGTAAAGATCAAATAAGAAATACTTTTGTTTAGTTTGGCTCATATTGAGACCTATTTAGATATATTCCAAACTTTTTAACTGTCCTTCCCATATGGTACCCGTTGTACAAGTTATAGTAACAAACACAAACATGAAGTTATAAAAGAAAAGGTTTTCTTGGCTAATGTCTCCCGCTTCATTTCTCCCCACAGATGTTCCAGTTATCGACCCACCCAGGCGGTAAGAGACTCCCTGCTTTCACAGTATGCTGGAATCTGCATTACATCTTCAGGGGCTGTGTGGTTTGGCCTCGTAGGAGGAAACATCTGTCTTCATTAGGTTATCAATGTACTGTATTAGCATGACCCAAAATCAGATACATCTCTATTTTCATAGAGGAAGGGCGTGTCAAAGTAAAAAGGTTTAGGACTGATATGTTTGGAAAAGGAAGTCAAAGGAGATGGCAAATATGTGACTGAGGCTATGTTGGAAATAAAACTCTTCCATGTCTAACATATTGAATCAGTAGCCTTAACAGGTACTCTGTAGTCTGCAGGTTATAGCAGTTTGCAGTATAAAAAGTTGTATATGAGTTAGGGGGTTCACTAGAATGTACATTATAAACATGTTATCAACCAGTGTAATGTATCACCCTCTTAAATTTGTGGTCCCTGTCTTGGTAGGGGCCACTGGTCATGGTTAAGTCCCAGCATGATGGTGTGCTAGGAAGTGTGCTGGGAAACCTGTGCCGATAGGAGAGCCAGGGCCTGCCATTCCTGTGGGCTTTCCTGTGCTGAGAAGAGGGGTGTATGTGAGTGACTGTGATAGTGTGTGTTTGTGTGTATCTCTCTGTGTGTGTGTTTGAACAGGGTTGGATTGTGAGAGAAGGGACTGTGGTCTCTGCGATTTCTCCTCTGGAAGATTTCTGCTGAGTACACTGTTCCACTGTGGGTCAATATTCTCCCTTTCCTAGTGGAGCTATTAATAGCTTTTTCCGCCAACAAGGTGTAAGGTGTGTGTCAGCGCGTTTGCTCTGTGTGTCTGTTTCAGCTCAGATTCAGATATTTTTGCATCGCAAAGAACACTTTGTAATATAAACATTGTTGCAGAACATGCATAACATGTCTACAGGTCTATTCAACTCAGGAAAGCAGTGGTATTGTGTTTGTGTGTGTGTGTGTGCGTGTGTCTAGTTGCATCTGTAGGACCTTTGACAGATACCTTTCATTAAGTGACACCCTTAAGATTAAAAGTCCTGGACAATGGTCACCATGACAACTTGACACTTGACATTTATATGGCTCTGCTTTATGTTCAGTTGAGCTGTAACCTTACATTAGAGGGGCACACATTTAACACTCCACCTAAGCAACCCCACTTTACAACACTCCTTTTTCCTGCATTCCACACTTCCTTGCTGTCTGCTCTGCACAGTATTCTGCTTAGTGGTAGATCTGCAAGCTGGGTTTGCAAGCTGTTCAAGTAAACAATGTTACAAAAGACACAGATACTGTATACAGACCTGTGTACGCTGACAGGGGGCAGACGCAAGATGCAGTTGCTATAGCAGGTGGTGTGTTGTTAAATCAAATCAAATCAAATTGTATTTGTCACATGCGCCGAATACAAGTGTAGACCTTACAGTGAAATGCTTCCTTAGTGAAATGCTTACCCAGGCAATGTAAATAGTCTGGGTAGCCATTTCATTAGATGTTCAGGAGTCCTATGGCTTGGGGGTAGAAGCTGTTGAGAAGCCTCTTGGACCTAGACTAGGTGCTCCGGTACCGCTTGCCGGGCGGTAGCAGAGAGAACAGTCTATGACTAGGGTGGCTGGAGTCTTTGACAATTTTTAGGGTCTCCTCTGACACCGCCTGGTATAGAGGTCCTGGATGGCAGGAAGCTTGGCCCCAGTAACGTACTGGGCTGTACGCACTACCCTCTGTAGTGCCTTGCGGTCGGAGGCCGAGCAGTTGCCATACCAGGCAGTGATGCAACCAGTCAGGATGCTCTCGATGGTACAGCTGTATAACTTTTTGAGGATCTGAGGACCCATGCCAAATCTTTTCAGTCTCCTTAGAGGGAATAGGTTTTGTCGTGCCCTTCACGTCTGTCTTGGTGTGCTTGGACCATGTTAGTTTGTTGGTGATGTGGACACCAAGGAACTTGAAGCTCTCAACCTGCTCCACTACAGCCCCGTCAATGAGAATGTCTTGATCACATTGAGGGAGAGGTTGTTGTCCTGGCACCACACGGCCAGGTCTCTGACCTCCTTCCTATAGGCTGTCTCGTCGTTGTCAGAGATCAGGCCTACCACTGTTGTGTCATCGGCAAACTTAATGATGGTGTTGGAGTCGTGCCTGGCCATGCAGTCATGAGTGAACAGGGAGAACAGGAGGGGACTGAGCACGCACCCCTGAGGGGCCCCCGTGTTGAGGATCAGTGTTGCAGATGTGTTGTTATCTACCCTTACCACCTGGGGGCGGCCCGTCAGGAAATCCAGGATCCAGTTGCAGAGGGAGGTGTTTAGTCCCAGGGTCCTTAGCTTAGTGATGAGCTTTAGTCAATGAATAGCATTCTCACATAGGTGTTCCTTTTTGTCCAGGTGTGAAAGGGCAGTGTGTAGCGCAAAAGAGATTGCATCATCTGTGGATCTGTTGGGGCGGTATGCAAATTGGAGTGGGTCTATGGTTTCTGGGATAATGGTGTTGATGTGAGCCATGACCAGCCTTTCAAAGCACTTCATGGCTACAGACGTGAGTGCTACGGGTCGGTAGTCATTTAGGCAGGTTACCTTAGTGTTCTTGGGTACAGGGACTATGGTGGTCTGCTTGAAACATGTATATATTACAGACTCAGACAGGGAGAGGTTGAAAATGTCAGTGAAGACACTTGCCAGTTGGTCAGCGCATGCTTGGAGTACACGTCCTGGTAATCCGTCTGGCCCTTCGGCCTTGTGAATGTTGACCTGTTTAAAGGTCTTACTCACATTGGCTACAGAGAGCGTGATCACACAGTCGTCCGGAACAGCTGATGCTCTCATGCATGTTTCAGTGTTACTTGCCTCGAAGCAAGCATAGAAGTAATTTAGCTCGTCTGAAAGGCTTGTGTCAATGGGCAGCTCACGGCTAACTTCCCTTTGTAGTCTGTAATAGTTTGCATGCCCTTCCACATCCGACGAGCGTCGGAGCCAGTGTAGTACGATTCGATCTTAGTCCTGTATTGACGCTTTGCCTGTTTGATGGTTCATCGGAGGGCATAGTGGGATTTCTTATAAGCTTCCGGGTTAGAGTCCCGCTCCTTGAAAGCGGCAGCTCTACCCTTTAGCTCAGTGCGTATGTTGCCTGTAATCCATGGCTTCTGGTTGGGGTATGTACGTACAGTCACTGTGGGGACGACATCATCGATGTGCTTATTGATAAAGCCAGTGACTGATGTGGTGTACTCCTCAATGCCATCGAAAGAATCCTGGAACATATTCCAATCTGTGCTAGCAAAACAGTCCTTTAGCTTAGCATCTGCTTCAGCTGACCACTTTTTTATTGACCAAGTCACTGGTGCTTCCTGCTTTAGTTTTTGCTTGTAAGCAGGAATCAGGAGGATATAATTATGGTCAGATTTGGCAAATGGAGGGCGAGGTAGAGCTTTGCACGCATCTCTGTGTGTGGAGTAAAGGTGGTCTAGAGTTTATTTTCCCTCTGGTTGCACATTTAACATACTGGTAGAAATTAGGTAAAATGGATTTACGTTTCCCTGCATTAAAGTCCCCGGCCACTAGGAGCACCGCCTCTGGATGATCGTTTTCCTGTTTGCTTATGGCCGTATACAGTTAATTGAGTGGGGTCTTAGTTCCAGCATTGGTTTGTGGTGGTAAATATACAGCTGCGAAGAATATAGATGGAAACTCTCTTGGTAGATAGTGTGGTCTACAGCTTATCATGAGATACTCTACCTCAGTGAGCAAAACCTTGAGACTTCCTTAGATATCGTGCACCATCTGTTGTTTACAAATATACATAGACCACCACCCTTGTCTTACCAGAGGCTGCTGTTCTATCCTGCCGATACAGTGTATAACCCACCAGCTGTATGTTATTCATGTATTCGTTCAGCCACGACTCGGTGAAACATAAGATATTACAGTTTTTCATGTCCTGTTGGTAGGATATACATGCTTGTAGTTCGTCCACTTTATTATCAAGCGATTGTAAGTTGGCCAATAGTATCGATGGCAAAGGAAGATTAGCCACTTGTCGCCGGCTCCTTACCAGGCACCCCGATATCTTTCCACGAAATCTCCTTTTCTTTCTACTGCGAATGACGGGGATGAGGGCCCTGTCGGGTGTCTGGAGCAAATCCCTCTCGTCCGACTCATTAAAGAAAGATTATTCGTTCAGTTCAAGGTGAGTAATTGCTGTTCTGATGTCCAGAAGCTCTTTTCGGTCATAAGAGACGGTAGCAGCAACATTATGTACAAAATAAGTTACAAACAATGCTGTTGGTGAACACATATTTAGGAGAGGGAGTACAAACCAACGACGCTGGACAGAGTGGAAGTAGGTTAAAACAAAAGCAGTTTATTAACAGAGATATCTTGTTCTGATTAAGCTACATGCATGGACCCAACCAATTGCCTCTTATGGAGACAGTTGAGAAGGGCGATTAAAAAGAGTTTACAGCATTACTTTATACAATGTAACATAAAGGAAGGGGTCCTTCTTCTAGTCCCTTGATTGGTTCCCGAGGCATAGGAGGCGGGTCTGCTCTGTCCAGAGCAGATGCCCCATTGGTGCACGGCAGAGTCCTCTGCCCTTGGCACCCGACCAGTAGACAGGGGAGTTGAGAATGAGTGTGCGTGCAAATGAAATGTTTGTGTGTGTCCAGGGAACTCGTGAGGAGTAGAGAATGAGTGTGCGTGAAAGTGAAATATTGGTGTGTGTCAAGGGAACTCGTGAGGAGTATCTGTTGGTTTATGGCCGGAGGTGGGGGTGTTGTCCTATTATCGCATTCCTGCAAGACTAGGCCATCTGGTGAGAAGATATGGTGTTCTCCTCTGTCCTTTGTTCTCTGACCTGGAACAGCATTTATTGAAAACAAGCCTAACACAAATGGGTCTTTGCACAACATTTTAGTCAGACCAATCTATAACATTTTATATTTACTACGACAAATTATATTTACTACGACAATGCGAAAAAACACACAAAATAGCACGGTTGGTTAATAGTCCATAAAACGGCAGCCAATCCCCTCCGGCAGCCATCCCCTCCGGTGCTAGGTTAGACTCGTTATAGTAACTGTTGTTACAATGAAGATCTAGCTAGCCCATCATCAGCATGGTCAGCACTATTTCCAGAGAGACAAGAGGAAAGCCAAGTAAACAAGGCTCCCTGGTCGACTGTGTTCTGTAGTTAGAGGGAGTTGAAACACATCTAAGGCCTTGCATTCAGGCTGCTCACACTGTGCCTCAGTCTATTCTATTTGCATTGAAAAACGTTTGCCTTTTCTTCTGCTGTAGGCCTATGACTCACAGGGGCTTGTATAGACAAGTGAAGGGCGTAGGCCTACAAAGATTAACCATAAAATATATACTTTTCCAGTCTTTTAAACATTGAAATAGTATGTGTTCTCAAAAAGTGTTCTTGTTAAATCCCCATTTGAAACCACAGTAATGAGACATGCATTCTGTATGAATTTTACAGAACAGGGTTCATGGTGAGGCATTACTTACGCTGAGCCACATTCTACCCCAGCATCGTTTTTCTAATAATTTATTTTAGAAAGCTCTTATTCATAGAAAACTGCTTGAGTAGACATTACTCTGTAAAAATTCTTGGCTGTAATATGCCATTCCTGTGCGCTGCTTCCTGACTGAGTCTGGTGTCTTTGGGGGAGGCAGTGAAGGTGAAGAGTTGAAACGTTTATTAGCAGACATTACTAGAAAGTGGATTTGAAGTTTCAACATTACTCAAACAAGCTTTAGCTAACGCTTTTATTGTTGTCTTGCCAAAGAAGGTAACGCAATGATATATACAGAAAATCTGGCAAGCTATTTCTGGCTACAAAATATTTCCTACACTACTAAACTGTGTAATTCTGTAAACATTGTGGACTGTCAGGCATGCCTGGAACAGGGGAGAGGTACAGTATCTTGCTGACTGATACAGTATTTTGCTGACTGATTGACTTTCTGGCTGTTGGCATAGCCGAGAGGGATGGTGGGAGGGATGCATTTAATGAGATTGGTTTCTCCTCCATCCCAGATCTAGCTGTATAATCAAGCATGTGGGAGGATTGCTGTAACTCTCACTGGTAGCTTGAAAACATAAGCAAGTGGTAGCTCTTTACAGAATACCTACAAGATCAGTATTGGGAGATGTCTCAAAGGCAATAGTCTAGGGCTAGTTTTTATTTCAATCTAGTCATTATTATGGTCAGGCTTTAGGTATGGCAGGTGATCAATGGCTATCGTTTAGGGGGAACTTTCATGGCTCACAGTTAATATAACAAGCAGGAGGTACGGTCACAATATCATATTCATGGTCTCACATGAGTTCACCTGGATCAGATGACTCTCTCCATCCCTCACAACAGAAGTCAGCAGAATCATCACACCACAGTGAATAGGACTGACCAACCTAGCAGAAATGAGCTGCACTAGGAACATATAGCTGTGGCAGGTTTAAGGAAGTGTTACGCCTTGATCACATCGACAGCGTCATTGCGTTTTGGTACACCAGAAGTAAATTCATTTCCAATGGAACGCTGTGTTTGCCTTGCAGCATTGTATTGCAGAAGCAGTTGCAGTGCATTCTGTGTGGTGCATACATTGGATTTATCGAACGTATGCATCAAATTGAATGCGTAGACGGCTTGACAGAAATGGTAGCAGAAGGTGAATGTTGAACTTTTGTTGCACACATTTCCAGATGATGCTGCGTACCATTTTGCGCAATGACACTGTCGGTATGATGGAGGCGTTAGCATGCTGAGACGGCAGTGCTTCAGACCCTTTGCCCCCGGCTCCTCCTCCTCCTCCTCCAAACTGCAATTCACTTGTAATGAGCCACACAGCACCCAGGCTAGAGTGGTCATAACTGCTTTCCCTACTCTGTCTGATATGTTCCAGGGTCTCTGGCCCGGTCGAGCTCGTTGAGCCCATTGCTGCAGCACCTTCAGTGGGAGAGCAGCCCCTGGAGGAGTCCCAGGGAGGGTCTGGTCCTAGAGACGTGTTACCTGTGGAGAACCAGACCGACTCGGAGGACCATAGTGTGGAGACGGAGAAGAAGAGCTCCAGCCTGAGGGAACACTCTGAAGGTACAGAACTGCATAGATACAGATACATGAAACATGATATAGACAGAGGAGAGCAAGCTTACACCAATTACAGTATAGGCCTTCATAACCTTCACCACCATTGTTTTAAAGGAATAAACAAAACTGTATTGGTCTGTAATCGTTGCGTGGAACCTCCAGAGGGCAATGGCGAGCACACACACTCTCCCTCCCATGATTTGATTTCAACATGGACATGACATGAATTCAATTAATTCAGGATGAGGATCAATAGTGGACTATTGGTCTATTTCCACCAAGGGAAATTGCTCTGGCTGACATTAGGCTATTTGAAGGTGGTCCACTAAAAGACTCTGTAAGGAACCTGACTAAGCCCTGCTCCACTTTACTCCCTGTTCTTGTCGATATTGATAAATGTAGGCCTCAGTTGAGGTTTATAATAGTAATCTACCTTAAATGTGGTGTAAAAATGTTTGTCATCATGTATGGATACCGTCAAAATCTGATTTAACAAAGTGTACCTCCGTTTTGTGATCAGTTAGGAGTGCTATCATTATTTTTCTATAATTGGGTACCATTGGGTTGTTGTGTTTTCAGTGGACCAACGTGTCATAGGTAGCCTACTGGCACCATGATATGGCTAATGAACCATTGCCTGTTTATAGCCAACAACCAATAGCATTATACCTCTCTGTTCAAGCCTGTGAACAAAATCAAATCAAATTGTATTTGTCACATGCTTTATAAACAACAGGCGTAGACTAACAGTGAAATGCTTACTTACAATACACAGTAAATGTCAATAATGAGTAAAAGTAACATGGCTATATACAGGAAGTACCAGTACTGAGTCAATGTGCAGGGGTACGAGGTCATTGAGGTAGCTTTGTACTGTACATATAGGTAGGGGTAAAGTAACTAGGCAACAGCATAGATAATAGACAGTAGCAGCAGCATATGTGGTAAGTGTGTGTGTGAGTGTATGTAGTGTGTGTGTGTGTGTTGGGGTGTCAGTCAGTGTAAGTATATGTGAGTGTGTGGGTAGATTCCAGTGTGTGTGCATAGAGTCAGTGCAAGAGAGTTATTGGAAAAAGGGGTCAATGAGGTAGTCCGGGTAGCCATTTGATTAGCTATTTAGCAGTCTTGTTTAGCAGTCTTATGGTTTGGGGGTAGAAGCTGTTCAGGGTCCTGCTGGTTCCAGACTTGGTGCACTGGTACCGCTTGCCATATGGTAGCAGAGAGAACAGTCTATGCCTTCGGTGGCTGGAGTCTTTGACCATTTTTTGGGCCTTCCTCTGACACCACCTGGTATAGAGGTCCTGGATGGCAGGGAGCTCGGCCCCAGTGATGTACTGGGCTGTACTCATCACCCTCTGTAGCGCCTTGCGGTCGGGTACCTTGCAGTTTCCATACTAAGCGGTGATGCAGCCAGTTAAGATGCTCTCAATGGTGCAGCTGTAGAACTTTAATTTCAGCATCCTGACCAACATTCCAATAGACTGATACAAATCTATTCGACAAATGAACTTTGATAACACTGTGGCAATTTATTCATACTACAGTATGGATATTCTGTGTTACTATCAGTACTGTATTACTACAGTGTAATAGTACATTTGTAACCGATTAATAGATTCTGGTAACTGGGCTCTCCGTCATTGAGTTCAATACCACCTTTACACTTGCTTCTGGTCCTAACATTAAGACCAGTTTGAGTCCTAATCCCAGGACTACCATCAAGCAATGCCATACTGTGCTAAAAAGTGTTTCACCAAACCAAGATGAAACTTGCCTGAGTTCTGTTGTGTTTCCTTCTGGGATTGTTGGGGAAAATAAACTCAGCTTGAAGAAATACAATCAGGCTGTTTGAAATAACAAGCACTGTTCTCAGAAGACTGAGTCAGTTACTTTGCAGATCTGCAGATAGTCAGGCTGATTCAGTTATTCCCTTTTCGTTCGGTACACATTCTTCACAGAGAGAGGATGTGTCTGTGTCTGTGTGTGTGCACGCTTGCGTAGGTAATCCCTATTGTTGTAGAAGAACATTGTCTGTTTTGTCTCTCTCTTGGACTGTGTCCAAGGTGATTTAGAACCTTATATAGAGCCGTGGTGGCTAATCCATGTCAGAATACACATCTCTCATCAGATTAATTGAATCCAGTGATTGTTGATGTTTGAGGTTTATAAGGAACCATTCCAGACAAATCACAATTTAAAAACAAATCAATAAAGCCCCTAAGATAAATTAGGCTGAAACACTCTCAAAGCAGTTAATGACAAATCCTGCGGACCGTGGAGATAGGGTCGGTACATTACAAACAAGGTGGATATAATCATGCTGCCACAATTCCACAGCACAACTTAACACAAATAACAGCACTAAGTCCCTGCTAATATAATCAATTAACTGTTTATGTTTTCAACACTATGATATACATCTAATTGATGTAAATGTATTGACAATTACTACATAGAAGTGACAGAACCTTGGGGTATAATGTTTTGGGGAAAAAGCTTGTGGTTTTGCTCTTGAAGTTTTGTTGCTTTGCAAAATAATCACTGACAGGCCCTCCACCTGGCTCTGAGGTTTGGAATTGTGACTGGTCCTTACTGTCTTCCCCAATAGGTGAAGGTGTGGATGATGCTGAGGCCAATGCAGAGCTCCAGACAGGGAGCCCAGAGGTGATCTATGATGACGTGCCCTGTGAGGGACCACTCTCTCCTGACAAAGGTGAGTTCTGGGGCAGGGGCAGGGGCTGGGGCCACTGACTGCTTTCATTGGATGTCTCCCCTGTCTGATACTGCACCATGAGTCTTTGGATCAATGCACATCAGACATGGGTTCAAATGCGATTTGGTTCCTCTTAGATACTGCGTTGTGCTTGATTGAGCTTGAGGATCTGCTGTCTAACAATGCACTGTCAGTCTTTGGATCACTGTACAGTCTTTGTGCTTTGTTGATGTCAGTATATATATGTGTGTGTGCGTGTCAGGGGATATGATCTATGAGGATGTGCACAGAGAAGAAGTGCCCCAGGGTGCAGGCAACGGTTGGAGCTCCAGTGAGTTTGAAAGTTACGACGAGCAGTCTGATACCGAGAGCAAACTACCAACCCGCAGCAAGGTAGGAGAGATGGTGTTCTATTGTATATGTCTGTCTGTCTGTCTGTCTGGCTATCTGCCTGGTGTCTGTTTGGATTTTTGTGTTTATGTTCAATGCATAAGACATGACTCAAAGAGAATTTTTCACCCATTGCTACTGCTCTATTCATGTGAGAAACTGGTGGGGAAAATACAAAGAACATGAAACATGTATCAGCCCTGTCTGGGTGGGTTAATATTCTCGCTTTGTGTCCTGAGAATAAACAAGCTTTATTCTCACTTGAAAGGCATCAAAGTCATGACACTGTCTAGGTGCGGTATGTTATAACCATACAGCAGGTGACTCTCTCTCCTCCACATGGTGGCAGTATATCATTGACGTTGTGCTCTATTCTGGTCAGACTTGATCCAGTCTCATCCCTTTTTATATACCATGTACAGTACCAGTCAAAAGTTTGGACACACCTACTCACTGAAGGGTTTTTCTTAATTTCTTTTACTATTTTCTACATTGTAGAATAATAGTGAAGACATCAAAACTATGGAATAACAGTAATCCTTCTACCCCCCCTCCCCCACCCCCCCATAAAATAAAACAAAACTAAAAAACTAAAAAAAAGGAGTGGTTGTCCCACTGGCTGAATGCACCAATTTGTAAGTCGCTCTGGATAAGAGCGTCTGCTAAATGACTTAAATGTAAATGTTAATAACACATATTGAATCATGTAGTAACCAAAAAATTGTTAAACAAATCAAAATATATTTTATATTTGAGATTCGTGAAATAGCCACCCTTTGCCTTGATGACAGCTTTGCCCACTCTTGGCATTCTCTCAACCAGCTTCACCTGGAATGCTTTCCAACAGTCTTGAAGGAGTTCCAACACTGGTTGGCTGCTTTTCCTTCACTCTGCCATCCGACTCATCCCAAACCATCTCAATTGGGTTGAGGTCGGGGGATTGCGGAGGCCAGGTCATCTGATGCAGCACTCCATCACTCTCCTTCTTGGTGAAATAGGCCTTACACAGCCTGGAGGTGTGTTGGGTCATTGTCCTGTTTAAAAACAAAGGATAGTCCCACTAAGCCCACACCAGATGCGATGGCGTATCGCTGCAGAATGCTGTGGTAGCCATGCTGGTTCAGTGTGCCTTGAATTCTAAATAAATCACAGACAGTGTCACCAGCAAAGCACCCCCACACCATAACACCTCCTCCTCCATGCTTTACGGTGGGAACTACATATGTGGAGATCATCCGTTCACCTACTCTGCGTCTCACAAAGACACGGCGGTTGGAACCAAAAATCTCAAATTTGGACTCAAGATCAAAGGACACATTTCCACCAGTCTAATGTCCATTGCTTTTGTTTCTTGGCCCAAGCAGGCCTACTCTTCTTATTGGTGTCCTTTAGTAGTGGTTTCTTTGCAGCAACTTGACCATGAAGGCCTGATTCACACGGTCCCCTCTGAACATTTGATGTTGAGATGTGTCTGTGACTTGAACTCTGTGAAGCATTTATTTGGGCTGCAATTTCTGAGGCTGGTAACTCTAATGAACTTATCCTCTGCAGCAGAGGTAACTCTGGTTCTTCCATTCCTGTGGCGGTCCTCATGAGAGCCAGTATCATCACAGCACTTGATGGTTTTTGAGACTGCACTTGAAGAAACTTTCAAAGTTCTTGAAATTCTCTGTATTGACTGACCTTCATGTCTTAAAGTAATGATGGACTGTCGTTTCTCATTGCTTATTTGAGCTGTTCTTGCCATAATATGGACATGGTCTTTTACCAAATAGGGCTATCTTCTGTATACCCCCCACCTTGTCACAACACAACTGATTGGCTCACATGCATTAAGAAGGAAAGAAATTCCACAAATTAACTTTTAAGAAGGCACACCTGTTAATTGAAATGCATTCCAGGTGACTACCGCATGAAGCTGGTTGAGAGAATGCCAAGCGTGTGCAAAGCTGTCATCAAGGCAAAGGGTGGCTATTTGAAGAATCTCAAATATAAAATATATTTTGATTTGTTTAACACTTTTTTGGTTACTACACGATTCCATATGTGTTACTTCATAGTTTTGATGTCTTCACTATTATTCTACAATGTAAAAAATAGTAACAATGAAGAAAAACCCTTGAATGAGTAGGTGTGTCCAAACTTTGACACATAGATTTAGAAAACATTCTATGAAATGACATCATTATACAGAGGGGAGCGATGACCTGCTTGTTATGAACACTTGCTTGTTATGTTTGGGCAGAAACAATGGTGGCTTTACTGAAATGAATATCACATTAGGAGGTAGCCTATGAACATCCCCTCCTCCCTCTTCATGTCTGCCTCAACCTCCCCTCCTGCACTCACTTCCTTCACCAAGATCATTGCTATTAGTCTAGGCTGACATTACCCTTTGACCAGCGCAGCGCTCTAAGCTTCCGCTCTCCATCCTTGTGATTAATCCAGGTGTTGCCTTGCTTGTTTTGTCTTGATCCTTTTCTCTCAATTTCCCGCTGTCTCATCTTCCTTCCTTCATCCCTGTGCCCTGCTGTGTGGTTTAACGCCACCTGCCCTGACCTGCCTCACACCACACTGCCCCAACACCTGTGGTGTTCCCGGTACTGTAGCAGTACTCCCCTGACGTGCGTCGGCTGAGGGAGCGTTGTGCCAGGACCAAACGTGAAATAGCCATGAGGCTAGGTGGGAAAAACAACTATGACACCAAGGTATATCGCTGGCAGTAAGAAAACACAACATGACACCAAGGTATATCGCTGGCAGTAAGAAAACAACATGACACCAAGGTATATCACTGGCAGTAAGAAAACATAACATGACACCAAGGTATATCACTGGCAGTAAGAAAACACAACATGACACCAAAGTATATCACTGGCAGTAAGAAAACACAACATGACACCAAGGTATATCACTGACAGTAAGAAAACACAACATGACACCAAGGTATATCACTGGCAGTAAGAAAACACAACATGACACCAAGGTATATCGCTGGCAGTAAGAAAACAACATGACACCAAGGTATATCACTGGCAGTAAGAAAACATAACATGACACCAAGGTATATCACTGGCAGTAAGAAAACACAACATGACACCAAGGTATATCAACTTAGAACTCAAAATTACAGCACCCAGGAGGCTATGCAAGGATTACAATGACCAAAGCCAAAATATGCCTGCTGTAGTTTGAAGTGCATTATACCTGATTAGTTATTCACATGATTCACTTTCTTTACCATCCTGTCCTTACTAATGTTTCTGTGCTATTCTCCAAACTGTCGCTCTCATGAGAGATTTGTCTCTCTCCTTCTAGTTTAGTATCAGGACAAGTTTTGGGGACACATGAATAAGTAAAACACATTTACATCCATAAACACGTTGCCAGTTGCTCCCAGTTGATAACCTAGTTTCCTGAAGTGGCATCATTTAAAAATACCATCACCATGGGTATATTCTGGCTCTGTGGGCATCACATGAGTCTGCCGGGCCTCAGTGATGCTCAGGGTGGGGTTTGTGTTTAGCAGAATTGATGATCTCTTCATAGACTTCCTGACTAGAGACTAGATCAGACCGTTACAGGCGCATATGGTGGTATTCATGGCTTGATGCATCAAGTGTCCTCTCCTTGTGGATTACTGTGCAGTGTTTCCTGGCTCTGTCCTCTCGCTGTCCTCGTGGATTAACTGTTTTGGCCTCTTTGTCCTTTTGAACCAGGTTCATCAGCTAATGAAGGCAGCTAGAAGTGGGACCAAGGATGGATTGGACAAGACCAAAATAGCCTTCATGCGGAGAGTCTCCTTCCTGCACAAGAAGGACCACTCAGGTAATCAGGGAAAAAGTTATTCAAAATGACTTTTTGTCAAATGACTGTCTCAGATGGAAGTTTCCTTCTCATGTGTAAATTTGTTGTGAAGTGAGAGTTTCTGTGGAAGATAGGAGTTCACATACATTTCATCTGCCTCTTTGAATTAAGCTGCGGTGGAGAACTAGCCGAGCCAAAAGTAATGTTAGAGACAGATAGAGGAGAAAGCCTCCCATTTCCTTTCCAATCCCAGCTTTAAAATAGAAAAGACTTGTGGAAAAATGATCTAAACGATGTACGATATTTCAAATGACACAGCTGGGATAAGTCGAGTGGCTCGCGCCGATTAAAGACAGACGTTGTGGCCAACTGAAGGGTTTGATGTGTGGGAGAGGAACGGGCAGAAAATCTCACATGATAGAGGTTTTTACCCCAGGAAGTCTCAGTACACAATGGAACCAGATTAACATCCATTAATGGAGTGTCGAGCAGCTCCAGAAACCACAGATAACAGAGACACAACTCAAACAATTTTTTAAACAATAAAAAAGAGGAAAAGAGGCCAGTGGTTCTATTTGTAGCTGTTGATCAGGGGGAATCTGGGCAGCATGATATATTTCTGATACTGACACACAATTATCGCTCCAAAGTCATTCATTGGAGTGGTGTTGGCGGGCGAAAATCAGTTTTAGTATCTATGTCTGTATGGTTGCAGGGAAGGATTCTGTTTAGTGCATTTTGAACGCTTTTGTATTCATGCTGAGTGTGTGTGTGCGAGTGTTTGAACACGTTTTTGCAGATGGACTGTCTGTTCTCCTCTTTACTTCTACTAAGATACATTATTGTTTGAAATGTATTTTTCCCTCCTAAGTCTTTCAAGCAGAGTGCAAATCTCTTTATATTTTATAGGTAATAAACTTGGAGTGCATCTGGGAGTGTGGCTCCAGTTGACATGTGAAAGCTTTAAATGTGCCTCTGTGTATGTGTGTGTGTTTCCCTGTGCAGAGGATGTGGAGGATGACGCAGGGTACCTGGATGTGGCTGTGTCGGAGGTGAAACAGCCTCCTGCACAGCTGAGCCCCATGCCTGAGGGACTGAGCAGCCAGCAGGTGTGTATGTGTGTATGCAGATGTTTGTGTGTGTGTGTGTGTCATAGTATTCTGTGAATCTCTAGATTCATGTGATATGCATGCAATTATATTTCTATTGCCAACACTGACTCGGTAGGACGATTGGGAGAAATATGTCTGCTACAGTTAAGGACAGGGCTACTCATTTCAAGGGAAACCTCAGGGTAAATCTGGGCCTCATGAAAAGAAGGCTGCCCCACCCAAACTCTCTTACCCTATTACAATCACACAACCAGGCATGACTACAGTAGCCTAGTACTATCACACAACCAGGCATGACTACAGTAGCCTAGTACTATCACACAACCAGGCATGACTACAGTAGCCTAGTACTATCACACAACCAGGCATGACTACAGTAGCCTAGTACTATCACACAACCAGGCATGACTACAGTAGCCTAGTACTATCAAACAACCAGGCATGACTACAGTAGCCTAGTACTATCAAACAACCAGGCATGACTACAGTAGCCTAGTACTATCAAACAACCGGGCATGACTACAGTAGCCTAGTACTATCAAACAACCAGGCATGACTACAGTAGCCTAGTACTATCAAACAACCAGGCATGACTACAGTAGCCTAGTACTATCAAACAACCTGTCACACACAACTGAGGCTGTACTGCATACAATTAACTCCCATCATGCCGTTTTCTGTGCGTGGCCGTTGACCTCTGACCTGTATGTTTCCCTGACTGGCCTCCTCTGTCCTCAGGTGGTCAGACGCCACATCCTGGGTTCCATCATTCAGAGTGAGCGCAGTTATCTTGAGTCCCTCAGGAGAATCCTTCAGGTGAGTGCTTTACCCCCTACCACCCCTCCTCTGCCCTATGCTTACTCTGACAGATGTAATACGTTCATCTTTTCAGCATTTAAGAATGAGTCTGAAAAGGAAACTGGAGATAAGTATGAAATTACCAGGCTTGCTCCGCATAAATAATCATGATAGAACAGATTCCTCTCACATCTGTGGTACCCCGCTGCTGCTAAGAGAGAGATTTTCTCTCTGTCAGGTTTTCACAGAATCACAGAATGGGATTCTCTCTTCTTTTTTTATCTCTCTTTTTCTCTGGTGGAGAGAGAAACATTCATTATCTCTCCTCAGAGATGAAGAGACACACCTGCTGAAATGGAATCAGGTGTGATCAGTGGGAGGGTTATGTGCGGCGAAATATTTTCTGATGATGTACTACCTTTGTTTTGGCATGAGATTATTGTGTTTGATAATTGCGGATGTTAATCCTTTTTTTGTGATTTTGCTTACCATTCAACAAGTCCAACTCACTGCTAGAGGAAACATAAAAGAAAATAGCCATGAGCACAATTTCTATTACATTAAGAACTGCGACTTCAGTCCTGTAAAAACAGAAATTGCCCTGTCCATATTCCACTTGTCGATAATTCATTTGCTGTGGAGGATTTATGGTTGGGCAGGGGAGGCTCGTAAAACAACAATAGCAGCACTAGTCTATCATCTATTGTTGATTCCAAAGATTGCCTTTCATTGCTGATTTTCTGCTGACTGCATCTGGCAGTTTCTGATTGCACAGATTACATTCGCCATATTTAAATGACTCTCACTTTAAAAGACACTGCAGTCATGTGCACATGTTTTACACAGTTGACTAGTTTTGATACTGTACAGTGTCTTAACTAATTGCAATTGCTTATAAGAGTGTTACTAACTTATGAGTGCATCAATGTGCCTTTCAGTAAGGGTCCAAGCCCTGTTGGATGCTGCTGTTGTATCTGTTGAGAGATGTTGCATTTTATGATCAGGGACTACCTGTGTGTTTTATATTGTTCTCTACCGTAAAGCATACCTAATCCAAGTTAACTTGGGTGTACTATTTCCCCAGGAGTACCAGAGGCCCTTGCTAGAGGCGGACCCACGCATCCTGAGCCCACGGAAGATCCGTCCCATATTTTACCGTCTACGGGAGATCACTCAGTGTCACTCCATGTTCCAGATCGCACTTGCGTCACGTGTGGCTGAGTGGGACAGCAGTGAGAAGATTGGGGACCTATTTGTGGCCTCGGTTAGTGAGACTTTGTGTGTGTGTGTGTGTGTGTGTGTGTGTGTGTGTGTGTGTGTGTGTGTGTGTGTGTGTGTGTGTGTGTGTGTGTGTGAGTGAGTGAGAGAGATTTTCAGGGACTTATTTGTCCAAGTAAAATGAGACAATTTCCACACACACAGTTATAATGAGCTGCACTTAAAATTGAGAAAACAACACTAACCGCATGCATGGAGACAATTACAGCTTAGATTAATATCTATTTTGCAGCAAATACACTCAGAATATGTCTGCTTATTGCATTGGCACTGGTCCATTGGACTAATGTATGAATGTGCTGCTGTGACCCTCTGCAATGTGCTCATCCATAAGGCTAGCTCATTATTTACCTATCAAAGAGACCATTTCGACCCTCTGCCTTCCTGCTGGCCCTGTTTATTGTGATGTTTCATTGATATCCTGACACCAGCCAAATTAGCCTGTTGTGAGAGGTGTTAGGGAGGCTGGGGGTTGGGACCCAACACTCCTCATTGATTTCTTTTTTTCACCTGAGAGTGGATTTGTCGCCCAGCTGTTAATGTTTTATGTTATAGGTCTCATACTTGTATCTGTGTGTTGTTTGTGCCTGGCTTGCAGAGCAGATGAAGTATAGGGTTCATTTCTATGTGAGACTGGCTAATGTTCTAGCTACTGCTCCTCCAGCTACTGCTGCCGTCAGCAGCCCGCTTAGTGTTTAATCAAAGGAGAGTGAATGACTGTGTGCCGTCGCAGCCGCCTCTCAATATCCCCACCTCACCCCTTCTAATGGATTGTGAAGGGTGTTTTTGGTCTCCTGGATGGTAAACAGATCAGGGTCTTAAATACCACATTGAACCAACATTGAAATTACCTGTGGATTTCCAGGATTAGGATTTTGCTAGATCAGCTGTTGAGCTGTTGAATTTCTAAGAACTTTGAACATCTGTCAGAAGAAAGATGTTTTCAGATGTTTTTAAAGATTAAATAACCAAACATGACTTGTCCCTGAATTAATTTGTTTCCTGAAAACCCCAACATATTCCTGATGTGAAATCCAATGGTTGTTCCTCTTGCATTTCCGATAATCCCACGTTTCTGGATTTCCACAGTTTTCCAAGTCCATGGTGCTAGATGTTTACAGCGACTATGTCAATAACTTCACCAATGCCATGGCCCTCATAAAAAAGGCATGCATGTCCAAACCAGCTTTCCTGGAATTCTTAAAGGTGAGTTACAAAGTAGACTTGTCCATGTGTTTTTTCTCTCCAAAACACTCTATTTTTCTTTCAATACACTCTAACCCACGGTCACAGTCAATCTTCAGCTACTATTTAATTTGGCTCTTATAATATACTATATTCTACTGGTGTCTTGATACTTGGTTAAAAGTGTAGTTGCTTTATTGTTTCTCTTTCAACTTGAAGGCTTTTCTTTTTTTTGCGATATACTGCACTAATAGAGAATATTTATACTGCACCAATTAGCAATTCTCACATACTGTACAGTACACCTTGTCAAACCTAAAGTCTGACACAGTAAACTGTATTTAATGATGAACCTGTTCGGGTGATGATGTCAGTGTAGCACATTGTGGCTCTGATTTTCAGCAGTTTTCTATTCATACACAGCAGTAGGACTTCACTCCCTGTGTTATGACCTACACCCACACTCATATACTGTACGCTGACCACCTCCACTTACTCATTCTCTAATGACGAGCACAGCCACCAGAGTCTGTTTCTCCACACCTTACTAACCTAAACTCACTCCTACTCCCACACTCCTAAACTCTATATATCTTCCTCCTTTGAATAAGCACTAAAGGTGTCTTTCTCTTAGTGTATTGATTATCTCCTGACTGTACTATGCTATGTTGTTTATGTAAACCTACTTGTCCTGTGTTGTGTAGAAGAAGCAGGCGTCCAGTATTGATCGCATCACCCTGTACGGCCTCATGGTGAAGCCCATCCAACGCTTTCCCCAGTTCATCCTATTACTGCAGGTATATGCCTTTACCAGCACCGTCATCACTGCTAACAGTGACTAGATAATGTCATATTAGAAAACATAAAAGATAAACAATCTGAGATTTACATCAGAATGTTTTATACACCTAATCAAGAGTTCTGCGCATGGCATGATTTGTATTTGTATTTATTATGGATCCCCATCAGCTGCTGCCAAGTCAGCAGCTACTCTTACTGGGGTCCAGCAAAATTAAGGCAGTTTATACAAGTTTAAAAACATTACAACACATTCACAGATTTCACAACATACTGTGTGCCCTCAGGCCCCTACTCCACCACTACCACATATCTACAGTACAAAACCCATGTGTACGTGTGTGTATAGTGCATATGTTATCGTGTGTGTGTATGCATGTGTCTGTGCCTATGTTTGTGTTGCTTCACAGTCCCTGCTGTTCCATAAGGTGTTTTTTTTAAATCTGTTTTTTAAAACTAATTTTACTGCTTGCATCATTTACTTGATGTGGAAAAGAGTTCCATATAGTCATGGCTCTATGTAGTACTGTGCTCCTCCCATAGTCTGTTCTGGACTTGGGGACTGTGAAGAGACCTCTTGTGGCATGTCTTGTGGGGTATGCATGGGTGTCCGAGCTGTGCGCCAGTAGTTCAAACAGACAGCTCGGTGCATTCAACATGTCAATACCTCTCATAAATACATGTAATGATGTAGTCAATCGCTCCTCCACTTTGAGCCAGGAGAGATTGAAATGCATTTTATTATTATTAGCTCTCTGTGTACATCCAAGGGCCAGCCGTGCTGCCCTGTTCTGAGCCAATTGCAATTTTCCTAAGTCCTTTTTTGTGGCACCTGACCACACGACTGAACAGTAGTCCAGGTGTGACAACACTAGGGCCTGTAGGACCTGCCTTGTTGATAGTGCTGTTAAGAAGGTAGAGCAGCGCTTTATTATGGACATACTTCTTCCCATCTTAGCTACTGTAGTATCAATATTTGTAGTTTTGACCATGACAGTTTACAATCCAGGGTTACTCCAAGCAGTTTAGTCACCTCAACTTGCTCAATTTCCACATTATTGTCACGTTCGTTTATAGACGGGACGGACCAAGGCGCAGCGTGATATGCATACATGTTTATTTATACTGAATAAACACCACGACAAAACAACAAATGAAACGAAACGTGAAGTCCAAGGTAGACAAACAACATACCTCACACGGAACAAGATCCCACAACCCACTAGTGCCAATAGGCTGCCTAAGTATGGTCCCCAATCAGAGACAACGAGCGACAGCTGCCTCTGATTGGGAACCACACCGGCCAACATAGATCTAGACATACTAGAACTAAACATAGAAAATACAACATAGAAAAACACAACAAGGAATATACACACCCTGACTCAACATATAAGCGTCCTCTGAGTCAGGGCGTGACAATTATTTATTACAAGATTTAGTTGAGGTTTAGGGTTTAGTGAATGATTTGTCCCAAATACAATGCTTTTAGTTTTAGAAATATTTAGGACTAACTTTTTGTTAAGTGTTGCAGTAATTTCAGTCGCTGTAGTAGCTGACATGTATAGTGTTGAGTCATCCACATACATAGACACTCTGGCTTTACTCAAAGCTGTCACGATCGTTGAACGGAGTAGACCAAGGCGCAGCGTGATGAGCGAACATACTTTATTATCTTTAGTGATAACAAGAACAAAACAACAAACGATAACGACACGTGAAGTCCTTGGCTACAAAATACAACCAACACGGAACAAACCAAAAGGAACAAGATCCCACCACTACTGTGGGAAAACAGCCTGTTTAAATGTGGTTCCCAATCAGAGACAACCAGCCACAGCTGACACTCGTTGCCTCTGATTGAGAACCACACTGGCCAACATAGAAATAGAACAACTAGAAATATCAACACAGAACACAAACACATAGAATCTACACACCCTGGCTCAACATATAGAGTCCCCAGAGCCAGGGTGTGACAAAAGCCAGTGGCATGTCATTAGTAAAGATTGAAAACAGTAATGGGCCTAGACAGCTGCCCTGGGGAATTCCTGATTCTACCTGGATTATGTTGGAGAGGCTTCCATTAAAGAACACCCTCTGTGTTCTGTTAGACAGGTAACTCTTTATCCACAATATAGCAGGGGGTGTAAAGCCATAACACATACGTTTTTCCAGCAGCAGACTATGATCGATAATGTCAAAAGCCGCACTGAAGTCTAACAAAACAGCCCCCACAATCTTTTTATCATTAATTTCTCTCAGCCAATCATCAGTCATTTGGGTAAGTGCTTGTTGAATGTCCTTCCCTATAAGCATGCTGAAAGTTTGTTGTCAATTTCTTTACTGTAAAAAAGCATTGTATCTGGTCAAACACAATTTTTTCCAAAAGTTTACTAAGGGTTGGTAACAGGCTGATTGGTCAGCTATTTAAGCAAGTAAAGGGGGCTTTACTATTCTTAGGTAGCGGAATGACTTTTGCTTCCCTCCAAGCCCGGGGGCACACACATTCTAGTAGGCTTAAATTGAAAATATGGCAATTAGGAGTGGCAATATCGTCCGCTATTATCCTCAGTAATTTTCCATCCAAGTTGTCAGACCCCGGTGGCTTGTCATTGTTGATAGACAACAATACTTTTTTCACCTCCATATTTATATTCCATATTCACTTTACGGAATTCAAAATTACAATGCTTGTCTTTCATAATTTGGTCAGATATACTTGGATATGTAGTGTCAGCGTTTGTTGTTGGCATGTCATGCCTAAGTTTGCTAATCTTGCCAATTAAAAAATCATTAAAGTAGTTGGCAATATCAGTAGGTTTTGTGATGAGTGAGCCATCTGATTCAATAAATGGAGCTGAGTTTGTCTTTTTCACAAAAATGTAATTTAATGTGCTCCGAAGCTTTTTACTCTCATTATTTGTTTCATAGTTTAGTTTCTTCTTCTTTTTATTCAGTTTAGTCACATGATTTGCAATAAATTTGCCAATCGGTTGTGCAGCCAGACTTACTTGCCATTCATTTAGCCTCATCCCTCTCAACCATAAAATGTTTAAATTCCTCATCAATCCACGGGGATTTAACAGTTTTTACCGTCATTTTCTTAAATGGGTGCATGCCTATTAGTAACTGGAATAAGCAATTTCATAAATGTGTCAAGTTCAGTGTCTGTTTGCTCCTCATTACACACCACAGACCAACAAATATTATTTACATCAACAGCATAGGAATCACTACAAAACGTATTGTATGACCTCTTATACACTATATTAGGCCCAGCCTTTGGAACTTTGGTTTTCCTAGATATGGCTACAATATTGTGATCACTACATCCGATGGATCTGGATTCTGCTTCAAGCTAATTTCTGCAGCATTAGTAAAGATGTGATCAATACATGTTGATGATTTCATTCCTGTGCTGTTTGTAACTATCCTGGTAGTTTGACTGATAACCTGAACCAGGTTGCAGGCAATGGTTACAGTTTGAAGCTTTTTCTTGAGTGGGCAGCTTGATGAAAGCCAGTCAATATTTAAATCACCCAGAAAATATACCTCTCTGTGGATATCACATACATTATCAAGCATTTCACACGTTATCCAGATACTGACTGTTAGCACTTGGTGGTCTATAGCAGCTTCCCACCAGAATGGGCTTTAGGTGAGGCAGATGAACCTGTAGCCATATTACTTCAACAATATTTAACATGAGATCCTCTCTAATCTTTACAGGAATGTGGTTCTGAATATAAACAGCAACACCTCCACCATTGGCATTTCTATATTTTCTGTAAATGTCATAACCTTCTATTGCTACCACTGTATCATCAAATATATTATCTAAGTGAGTTTCAGAGATAGTCAGAATATGAATGTCATCTGTTACTAGCAAATTAATGATTTCAAGAACCTTGTTTCTTAAGCTACATATGTTAACGTGGGCTATTTTGAGCACTTTTCTTCTGGGATGCTTACTTGTTTTTATTGCTTTTCTGGGAAGCGTAGCAGCAGTAGATGTGCTCATGTTATTTATGTTAGTGCAGGGTGAGCTGCACACTGTACATTGGGCAGTTGAAATCTACTATAGTAACATTTTCTAAATCAAACACCAGGCATGGCTCTACTTAGGGCTGCCAAGTGCATAACCATATTAGCTTTTCATGCAGTCAGCTCCTTTTTCTTCCTTTACTCTTCCTCTCTCAAGATTGTGTGTGCGAAGATTTTGATTTGAACTTGCGTACTGGAACTGCAGTACCTCATTTCATCCCTCAGTAGGCATCGATTAGCCATGAATTCAAAGATAAGTTATGAATATGAATTAGGCGTTTTCCTCTTGCCTAAAACTCAAGACTCCGGAGAGGGAGTGTCTGTGTTAAATCATACATTACACAGGGAACTAAATTTAAAGCACTTAAACCCTTCTGGGACTCACACACAGAATACAAGGACATATTTCTGCAGGTCCACAAGCACACACAGTTGCAGGTAAGCCAGACACACACACAGATCTGTGATGAAACTCAATGGATTTCTTAAATAAATATGAAAATGTAAATTATGGGGTTTTACATTGCTCTGGGCGTTCCACACAGAAACACGTGCACACACACAAACCAACACCTATTCACTTTATTTAGTGTTTGTTTCTGTGTTTGTTTAGGACATGCTGAAGAACACACCTAAGGGTCACGTAGATCGCCTGCCTCTGCAGCTGGCTCTGACTGAACTGGAGATGCTGGCTGAGAAGCTGAATGAACAGAAGCGTGTGGCCGACCAAATAGCTGAGACTCAGCAGCTAGCACGCAGTGTCAGCGACCGCTCGCTCAGCAAGGTGAACGAACCACTGCAATACACATGGATACACACTTGCACACACACAGAAAGCACATGCATGGCATAGCACGCACACACATGCATGCACGCTTGCACACACACACACACACACACACACACACACACACACACACACACACACACACACACACACACACACACACACAGTAATCAACCTGCTCACTATGTGGCTCAACCCCAGAGCCCTTCCTCTACCTCCACTGTGTTATCAGCATGAGCCAAACATCTATGCATTAGGCTATATAGCCATCACTTACATTACCTTCCCAGACATTAGTCTAGGAAAGCCTTTTTATTTAGAAAAATCATTGCCCAGAAATGATGCCCATTATCGCCCCTGAACAGCATCCAAACACCACGGCAGGGGCGTTCCTTCTCCATTACCACACTGGAATTACAGTCTAGACGCTGCAAATCTGAACAAATGCATTTCTGAATAAGAGGAATTAGGGGGTAAATGAGACATTTAATTGGAAACCGTGAGAGAGTTATCTCTCCCCAGTCTCTCGCCTTCTCCTTTCCCTCTCGTTTCCACCCCCCCTCCTTTCCTGCTGCTGTTCTTTTCTTCCCTCTCCATCTCTTTCTCATTCTTCCTCGCTCTCTCTCTTTCTCACCACCCGCAGCCCAGCATCTCCCACTCTCCCTCTCCCTCCCTCTGTCCCTCCTTCGCTCTCTTTCTTTCTACTGTTCCATGGTGGTGAATTTTCCAGAGCCCTGAGATGAGCTGATTCGGCCAATCTCGTCTGCTCCACACATAATTCCATTTATTGCGGTGAGACTGCAGAATTGCAATAGGAAGCAGCTCTCTTCCATAACCCCATAACCGTCTAATGAAATATGAATTATTTGTCTCTAAGTATCTAAGTCAGTGGAATAGGGGAGATAACACTGTTAGTGGGAACAGGTTGAGGTTTCTGTTTTACTCTATCTCTCAGACACACGCTCACACAAAACAGTCACTCATGGACACACGGTTGACACTTTGGACATTTCTGAGGGGCCCTTCCATAACTTACATCTGTCTGCCTCTTGAGGGTGCTGTAGTTCTGTGATCATAGATGACAGGCTACTGTTTGACTAATGACTCATTTCATAGCCATCTGAACAAATGCCAAGCAATGTTACTGATTCCCCACAGATATAATAATCAATTTTGTGAGATGTGATGGGATGTAGAACACTGTGCATTGTAATATGGACAGAACACAAATTCATTATTCATAAAATTGTGATTATATGGAACAAACATAAACATTAAAGTGGGACACAGTATCTGAGCTGCATATTTGTACTTTACCATCCATTCAGTCTTTGGGCTTTACTGTTGTTGTAATTATTATTTTTTCAGAAGATTGTTTTAGAATTCATAAAACTGACTGTATTGATTCAGCTGGACATAAAAAGTTACCGGAACATGTCATAAAACTACATCCTATTATATTACCCTTTGCCATGCAGGAAAGTATGCCTTGTGTGTTTTCACATACTGTAGCATACAGCAACATTTCTGTGAATATTTCCATTTGTGAGTGTGTGTGTGTGTTAGCGTGTGAATGTGTTCTGTGTGCCCTGACTGCACAAACCTACCTTGATCTGCTACTGATTCCCAATGAAATACTCACTTAACCAGACTTTAGCCTGCCTGCTGTGCTCCTTAGCAATTGAACTGAAACCCTGGGGAATTGGCCCTTTGTGATGTGTCTTTTGAGACAGTGTCCTGATTGCTCTGTCCCTTTAGCAACTGAACTCAGACCAGGGGTCGCTGGTGCTTTGTGAGACGTTGATTGAGACGGTGTACGGGGAGCGAGGCCAGATCCTGAAGTCTAAGGAGCGCAAAGTCTTCCTCTTCAATGACATACTCATCTGTGCCAACATCAACGTCAAGTAAGTGGTGGGTTGTTCCACCTCAAAAAGCACAAGAAAGAGGATTTTGACACCCACTATGTCAGATTTTTCTGAAATCGTTTCTGTGGTTAGAAACAGATAAGATTAGCATTCCTGCAACATTATTGTGTTGAAATATAATTTTATCTCTGAGAAATTAAGCTAGTTGATTGCACCCAAATTGGCGATTTTAAATGATAGAATTCATATAATATTCAATAAATATAATACATAACATCAGATTTCGACCCGAAATAAATCTAACAATGAGTAAGACATGAGGATTCCAAAGAAATGGTCAAAAGCCACTCACAGACCCCCCACAACCACATGCCAATCCCAACCCAACAACGAGTACACAGTATCAGTTCTCTATGTTTGACACGTAGTATGGAGCTGCAGTTCAGAGTATTGTTTCTTCATCCTATGTAATGCATTCTCAGTGAATTTGGGGATGTTTTTTTCCCTCCACTGTTCAGAGAAATGAGTCATTTAAGTTTTTAGGTTTATATCCCATCCTACATTCTGATATTACCAGATTCGGACCACTAGATGGTGGTGTTCCTGCTATTAGATTATAAAAAAAAAAAAATCCACCCTCCCCCTGAATGTTAAAGGAATAGTTCACCCAAATTACAAAATGACATATTGGTTTCCAATGCAAGTCAATGCAAGTCAATGGTACCTATATTAGCATTTTCATGCTTCATGTTCAAATCATCCTAAATTATCTAAAAATGTATTGTGTAACTCAATTATTGTTACTTGTGAAAATGCTGATATAGGTGCCATTGACTTGCATTTTAAACGGTGGCCAGGTAAACACAACCAAAGCATGGGTTGCTGTCGTACATTGTCCATAGACTGCTTACAGGGTAAGGAAACCAATTTGTCATTTTGGGATTCTTAAAAAAAATATCACCTAATAGCAGGAACAGCACCATCTAGTGATCAGAACCTGGTAATATCAGGATGTAGGATGAGACATAAACCTATCAACTAAAATGACTAATTTCTCTGAACAGGGGGAAAAAACATTACCAAATTCACTGAGAATGCATGACATACTTCAGAAAATATTAACACCCCTTGACTTTTTCCACATTTTGTTGTGTTACAGCCTGAATTTAAAATTTATAAAATATAAAGTTGTGTCACTGGCCTATACACAATACCCCATAATGTGAAAGTGGAATAATTTAATTCGAAATTTTTACTAATTAATTGTAAATGAAAAGCTGAAATGTCTTGAGTCAATAAGTATTCAACCCCTTTGTTATGGCAAGCATAAATAAGTTCAGGAATTACAATTTGCTTAACAAGTCACATTATAAGTTGCATGGACTCTGTGAGCAATAATAGTGTTTAACATGATTTTTGAATGACTACCTAATTTCTGTACCCCACACACACATACAATTATCTGTAAGGTTCCTCAGTCGAGCAGTGAATTTCAAACACAGGTTCAACCACAAAGACCAGGGAGGTTTTCCAATGTCTCGCAAAAAGGGCACCTATTGGTTGATGGGTAAAAAAAAAGCAGACATTGAATATCCCTTTGAGCAAGGTAAAGTTATTAATTACACTTTGGATGGTGCATCAATACACCCAGTCACTACAAAGTTACAGGCGTCCTTCCTAACTCAGTTGCCAGAGGGAAAGGAAACATCTCAGGGATTTCACCATGAGGCCAATGGTGACTTCAAAACAGTTACAGAGTTTAATGGCTGTGATAGGAGAAAACTGAGAATGGATCAACAACATTGTAGTTACAACACAACACTAACCTAAATGACAGAGTAAAAAGAAGGAAGCCTGTACAGAATAAAACATATTCCAAAACATGCGTCCTGTTTGCAATAAGGCACTAAAGGAAAACAGCAAAAAAAAGTGGCAAAGAAATTAACTTTATGTCCTGAATACAAAGTGTTATGTTTGGGGCAAATCCAACACAACACATCACTGAGTACCACGCTTCAAATTTTCAAGCATGGTGGTGGCTGCACCATGTTATAGGTATGCTTGTCATCGGCAAGGACTAAGGAGTTTTTTAGGATAAAAAGAAACGGAATAGAGCTAAGCACAGGCAAAATCCTAGAGGAAAACCTGGTTCAGTCTGCTTTCTAACAGACACTGTGAGACAAATTCACCTTTCAGCAGGACAATAATCTAAAACACAAGAATAAATATACACTGGAGTTGCTTATGAAGATGACATTGAATGTTCCTGAGTGGCCTAGTTACAGTTTTGACTTATATCCTCTTGAAAATCTATGGCAAGACTAAAAATTGCTGTCTAGCAATGATCAACAACCAACTTGACAGAGCTTGAATAATTTAAAAAAGAATAACGTGTAAATATTGTACAATCTAGGTGTGCAAAGCTCTGAGAGACTTACCCAGAAAGACTCATAGTTGTTATCGCTGCCAAAGGTGATTCTAACATGTATTGACTCAGAGATGTGAATACTTACTGTCACGATCGTTAACATAAGATACGGACCAAGGCGCAGCGTGATAAGCGTACATTTTATTAAGTACTTAACACAACACAAAACAACAAACAATACGTGAAGTCCTAGGTTACACAAAACAAACCTTTACAGAACAAGATCCCACACCGACTAGTGCCAAACAGGCTGCCTAAGTATGGTCCCCAATCAGAGACAACGAGATACAGCTGCCTCTGATTGGGAACCACCCTGGCCAACATAGATCTAAACGATCTAGCACATCAACATAGAAAATATAACACAGAAACTACACACCCTGGCTCAACATTTCAGAGTCCCCAGAGCCAGGGCGTGACAGTACCCCCCCCCCCCCCAAAGGCGTGGACTGCGACCGCGCCACACAAACACAACAGGGTAGGGGCCGGGTGGGCGGATCCGGCTTCGGGCGTGACCACCACTTTCTCTCCACCTCCCCGTTGCGCCCCTGATCTGGTCTGGCACCGCTAACTGGAACTGGAGCTGGACCCGACGACGGTGGATCAAACCGTACAGGCTCCGGACTGGAGCCGCTGGCCGGAGCTGGACTGGACACCGGTGGAGCGGATTGCTCTGGCTCCGGAGTGGATCCGCTGACTGGAGTTGGACCGGACCCCGGTGGAGCGGATTGCTCTGGCTCCGGAGTGGAGCAGCTGACCGGTGCCGGACAAGGCACCGGTGGAACAGGCACGGGCCGTGCCGGACTGGACACACGCACCGCTGGCTTGGTACGGGGAGCAGGAACGGGCCGGACCGGGCTGACGATGCGCACCACTGGCTTGGTGCGGGGAGCAGGAACGGGCAGGACCGGGCTGACGACGTGCACCACTGTCTTGGTGCGAGGGGCAGGAACAGGCCGGACCGGGCTGGCGACGAGGGGCAGGAACAGGCCGGACCGGGCTGGCGACGCGCACCACTGGCTTGGTGCGAGGGGCAGGAACAGGCCGGACCGGGCTGGCGACGCGCACCACTGGCTTGGTGCGAGGGGCAGGAACAGGCCGGACCGGGCTGGCGACGCGCACCACTGGCTTGGCGCGAGGGACAGGAACAGGCCGGACCGGGCTGGCGACGCGCACCACTGGCTTGGCGCGAGGGACAGGAACAGGCCGGACCGGACTGGGAACACGCACCACTGGCTTGGTGCGGGGAGCAGGAACAGGCCGGGCTGGACTGGGAACACGCACCACTGGCTTGGTGCGGGGAGCCAGAACGGGCCGGACTGTGGAGGCGGACTGGAGGTCTGGAGCGGAGAGCTGACACAACCCGTCCTGGCTGAATGCCTACTTCCACACAATACGTGTGAGGCATCAGCACAGGACGTACGGGGCTGTGCACTCGTACTGGCGCTACAGCACGTGGCACTGGCGCAGGATATACAGGACCGAGGAGGCGTACTGGAGACCACGAGCATTGAGCCGGCACACCCCGTCCTGGCTGAATGCCCATCTTTGCACGACACGTGCGTGGTGCTAGCACAGGACGTACAGGACTGTGCCGGAACACTCGCGGCACAGTACGTGGCTCCGCATAACACGGAGCCTGCCCAGTCACACGCTTCCTAGCCTGAGTACGGGGAGTTGGCTCTGCTCTAACCCTAGGCTCCGCCAACCACCCTTTTAGCCCCCCCAACATTTTTTATTGGGGCTGTCTCTCGGGCTTCCTCCTCGGCCGGTACCCTCTGCGTTGCCGCTGCTCCTCTCTATAGCGCGCCTCCACAGTCTCCTCCCAAGGACGGCGATCCATTCCGAAGTGAATCTCCTCCCAAGTCCAGGATCCCTTCCCGTCCAGGATCTCCTCCCAGGTCCAGGCTGTCTGTTCCTGGACACGCTGCTTGGTCCTCTTTTGGTGGGATCTTCTGTCACGATCGTTAACGGAAGATACGGACCAAGGCGCAGCGTGATAAGCGTACATTTTATTTAGTACTTAACATGACACAAAACAACAAACACACAATATGTGAAGTCCTAGGTTACACAAAACAAACCTTTACGGAACAAGATCCCACACTGACTAGTGCCAAACAGGCTGCCTAAGTATGGTCCCCAATCAGAGACAACGAGATACAGCTGCCTCTGATTGGGAACCACACTGGCCAACATAGATCTAAACGATCTAGCACATCAACATAGAAAATATAACACAAAAACTACACACCCTGGCTCAACATTTCAGAGTCCCCAGAGCCAGGGCGTGACAACTTACAATATGTACATTTGATATTTCGGTATTTCATTATGGTGTATTGTGTGTAGATGGGTGAGATTTATTTATTTTTAAATCCATTTTGAATTCAGGCTCTGTAACACAACAAAACGTGGAATAAGTCAAAGGGAATGGATACTTTCCGAAGGTGTCTCCGTAGAGTAGAGTAAATTCTGCTAAACAGCTCTTCAATCTAAATACACAAACACCTTCCCAGCGCCACAGCAGCAGCAACACGAGGCTCAGCCTACAAGGCTTTGCAGGGATATATTTAGGCAAAATGCATAGCAAAGAGTAATACAGTGTTCTCTAGCACTATCTGGAGTTACCAGAGCTTTATCAGCTTTTAACAAATGTCAGGCAGCTTAACTAGAGCAACAGGAGTCCTAGATTACTGACATAACATATTTCTTGGTCCCTCTCCAATTTATCCTCTATGACAGCGCCATTGATCACATCTTCTCAGAGCTATAGGTAAACAGGAAAGATGTTCCTCTATTTGCAAAGCTCCTGTCTGAGACGTTCATACCTCAAAGCTCTCTTGTTCAGCCTTCAAAGTAATTATCACCCCATGTTTTGTTCAACTTGATTCCCCTGAAGTTGACTTTGCCTGCCCTCTAGAATCTTGACAAACTGATCACAATGTTGATTGTGTGCTTGATTACAGGAATATATGAATATAAAATGAACGCTGCTCACAGCCGGGGGTCCTGCTTTCTGCCGTGAACACAGCTGATCAGACGGATTCTAATTCTGCTCCCCAGCTATTTTTGTGATAATTCAAAGAATGACACCTCAGTTCTCCTCCTGTTGGTGGTTTGGGATTAGTGCTTCTGTTAGGAGGAGCGGGACGCTGGGAAGAGCTTTGATTTAACTTGTTTTCTTATTTTTTTCCATCACCAGGGGCCTCCCTGATATCAGCAGCCTGGTCCCTGTTGGTCCTAAGTACACCATGAAGTGGAGCGCCCCCCTGCTGCAGGTCCAGGTGGTGGAGGTGGGTCAGGAGGCCTCCCAGGCCAAGGAAACCTTGTTCCAGCATGGCGGTGCCAAGCACCCTGGCAGTGCCTGTCCCCCAGGTTGGTAAACCTCCTGAGTCATCCATCCATGACCTCTCTATCCCTGTTCATCATCTCCTACATGTAGTCCAGTTAATCTCATCACTTGGCCAGACTCCTAGTCTCAGCCCTGTGGTCTGATTCAGCACAGCCCTCTAATCTGTTTCCTACTGTGAACTGTCCCAGTGAATTCTGGTGACACAGCGCTGTCACTCTGATTGAGGATGTGTTTGTGAAAAAAATTGCGATGATGGAAAACATAGCCGCACCCTCCACAGTCTCATTTCACTCTCTGATAGACCACAAACATATCTGGAGTGGTGTCATCAATCTGCAGAGATTATTCCCTTCCTCTCCAGCTCCAATTAGAGAAGCAGCAGCACTAGATAGGAATCGAATGGTGCAACAGTCCTTTTCCCACAAAACTCTGTTGTGCGTACAGCTTGGTGGAGAGATCCCTGATAAATGTGCCATGGGAAGGAGGAGATACAAAGCCTTATCAGGATGTAATGGAACAGCCTTTTAAAGTTGGAGCTCCATGACTTCAATATTAATGGCGACTTTTACAGTAGCGTCTGACCGTGTCACGCTCAGCGAACAGCAACAGTTTAACAAGGAGGCCAAGATTAGGCTTAGATTCTCTGAAGATTAAGCCTTACAGTCTTATAAGTGTACTGCAACACTGTGAGATCATTTAACGGTACATTTAAAGGTATATCACTCTCTCTCTCTCTTTTCCCAGTCTTTTACTAGCCTGTCATGTGTTTGAAAAGCTATGGTTGATTTGAGATTTTAGCACTGGCCCAATGCAAGCCATTCCCTTAATCATGCCTTTCCAGGAATCTTCCTCTGTGCATCTGTTGAATTACTTTCCAGCCTGCCAGTCACACAGACTGGCCCGTCTATTTATAGTTCCCCGTCCCCTGTGATGTCATTCGGCGAGGTGTCCTGCCTAAATCCCACGCTCCCACGGCTTGGAGAGAAATTGACTAATTTTTCATCTCTGGCCCTGGTGCCCTCCTTTATTGATGGAGAAGGCTGGCCTTCTGAGAACTACAGGGATCTCTCAATTCTCTCTCTCTCCTCTCCTCTCTCTCTCTTAGCTTCTCCCGCCCCATTACAGACTTATTATTGTCCCACATGTTTTATACTGACACTGAAATGAGAATGCAATGCTGCACTTACATGCAGTGAGCTGGTGTGCAGGTTCGGATGGGGATTAGTCTATGGTTTTGGTGCATATTTGGACCAATGACTGTATATATTGGGGATTTGGAAGCAGTGGCTGCTGTAAATTCCCTCAGGTTAGTTCCCAGAGCTGGATGCAGCACCAGCTGGACTATAGGTTGAGGATGGATATTCCTGCTGGCTGTTGTTACATGAGGTGGCTGCCCTTGGAAGGATGGGCAGGGGCCCCTGTGGGCTCAGCCCTGCCTTGCTGCTACGTGCCCGGCGGCCACTGTGAATAACCTTGTCTGAGTGTGAAAACCAATCCTGCCACACCAACGGGATTACGCTGGATTACAACTCAGCACATTCACCTCCGGGGCTGAGGCCAACTCCAGGCGGGCGGGGACACAACGGACCTGTGTGCCAGCGCATCCCAATGCCTCACAGATACAGGGAAGCCATTGTGTACAGAAGCTCATGGCAGGCACACCTCTTTATATTCAGATGTCTGCTATTGATCGTGTCTCACAGATGACAGATGTCTGTGCCCGTCCATGTCAGAGATCCCATTAAATCCCCAAAGGTTACAAAGGCTCTCTTTAAGAGAACAATACTTGCCTCTCTCTGCTCTCGCTGGGGGTTGGAGAATGTGAAGACAGTATGCTCCCAAGTCGATTGGTAAATCTCACGTCTAATGAGACTCCTGCATTCCTTTTGCCGGGAAAAAGGGCGTCATATTAGCTCCAAATGGCCACGTTTCTCTATCTGCTTTTTAGTTATACATTCAGACTCCAGACTACATTCAGACCATTCAACAAATAACGGCAGCGATCGATCCATCACACATTGAGCTCCTTTGTTAGTGGAAATTCAAGTTTTCTTTTATCACTTCTACTAGTGATTGTAGTTCAGGAATGTAAAGAATTACAGTTCTATTGGGGATTGCAATAGTTGTTTGACCTTGAGCTCTTACAAGGCCCTCCCTTGCCCTCCCTTTGGCAAATCAGACCATAATTTTATCCTCCTGTTTACAAGCAAAAACTCAAACAGGAAGTAAGAGTGATGTGCTCAATACAGAAGTGGTCTGATGAAGCCGATGCTAAGCTACAGGAATGTTTTGCTAGCACAGACTGGAATATATGCCATGGATTTATCCAATAACATGTATGAGTTTACGAACAGTCACCGGCTTCATTAATAAGTGCATCAACAACGTCATCCCCACAGTGACCATACGTACATACCCCAACCAGAAGCCATGGATTACAACAACATCCGCACTGAGCTAAAGGCCAGAGCTGCTGCCTTCAAGGAGCGGGACACTAATCCGGAATCATATAAAAAAATCCCGCTACGGCCTCCGACAAGCCATCAAACAGGCAAAACTTCAATACAAGACTAAGATCGAATCCTACTACGCTGGCTCTGATGCTCAACGGAAGTAGCAGAGTTTGTAAACTATCATAAGATTACAATGGGAAACCCAGCCACGAAAAAGCCCAGCAATGCAAACATACCAGACAAGTTAAATGCATTCTATGTTCGCTTCAAGGCAAATAACACGGAACCATGCACGAGCGCACCAGCTGTTCCAGACGACTGTGTGATCTTGCTCTTCGTAGCTGATGTGAGTAAGCCCTTTAAACAGGTTAACATTCACAAGGCTGCGGGTCCAAACGGAATACCAGGACGCAAACTCAGAGAATGCGCTGACCACCTGGCAAGTGTCTTCACTGACATTTATAACCTTTCCCTGACCCGGTCTGTAATACCAACTTGTTTCAAGCAGACCACCATAGTCCCCGTGCCCAAGAACGCCAAGGTAACCTGCCTAAATGACTATCTTCCCGTAACACTCACATCTATAGCCATGAAATGCTTTGAAAGGCTGGTCATGGCTCACATCAACACCATCATCCCAGACACCCTGGACCCACTCCAATTCACATACCACCCCAACAGATCCACAGATGGTGCAATCTCTATTGTACTTCACACTGCCCTCACCCACCTGGACAAAAGGAATACCTATGTAAGAATGCTGTTCATTGACTACAGCTCAGCATTCAACACCATAGTCCTCTCCAAGTTCATCACCAAGCTCAGGAACCTGGGACTGAACACCTCCTTCTGATCCTGGACTTCCTGAGGGTAGGCAACAACACATCTGCCACACTGACTATCAACATGGGGCCCCTCTGGGGTGTGTGCTTAGTCCCCTCCTGTATTCCCTGTTCACCCACGACTGTGTGGCCGCACACGACTCCAACACCATCATCAAGTTTGCTGATGACACGACGGTGGTAGGCCTGATCACCGACGAAGATGTGGCAGCCTATAGGGAGGAGGTCAGAAAAACCTCTCCCTTAATGTCAGCAAAACAAAGGAGCTGATCATGGACTACAGGAAACAGAGGGGCAAGCATGCCCCCATCCATATCGATGGGGCTGTAGTGGAGCAGGGTGAGAGCTTCAAGTTCCATGGTGTCCACATCACTACGGAATTAACATTGTCCACACACTCCCACACAGTTGTGAAGAGGGCAAGACAGCACCTCTTCCACCTCAGGAGGCTGAAAAGATTTGGAAAAGGCCCTCAGATCCTCAAAAAGTTATACAGCTGCACTATTGAGAGCATCTTGACTGGCTGCATCACCACTTGGTACGGCAACTGCAAGGCACCTGACTGTAAGGCGCTACAGAGAGTGGTGCGTACGGCCCAGTACATCACTGGGGACGAGTTCCCTGCCATACAGGACCTCTATACCAGGCGGTGTCAGAGGAAGGCCCTAAACATTGTCAAAGACTCCAGCCACCCAAGCCATACACTGTTCTCTCTGCTACCGCACGGCAAGTGGTACCAGTGCACCAAGTCTGGAACCAACAGGACCCACACTGGACTCTAACCACACACTCACACACCAACACACACATACACACACTACATATACCCACACACACACACGCTGCTGTCTATTATATATCCTGTTGCCTAGTCACTTTACCCCATAGTTATATGTACATAGCTACCTCAATTACCTCAAACTTCTGCACATCGACTTGATACTGGTACTCCCTGTATATAGCCATGTTTAAAAAAAACGTGTTATTGTTATTCGTTATTCACTGTGTATTCATTCCTAGTGTCACAATTTCTATCTTTAACTCTGCGTTGTTGGAAAAGGACCTGTAAGCATTTCACTGTTAGTCTACACCTGTTGTTTACAAAGCATGTGACAAATAACATTTGATTTGATGTTAATGGTGTAACCTGTTGATGTGTGTACTGTGTTGTGCCATGTTGTGTGTTGTCCACAGGGAAGGTAATCCTGGGTCCTCCTCGGCTCTACCAGGAGCTCCAGGAGCTGCAGCATGACCTGTCTGTGGTGGACGAGATCACACTACTGGTGGGAACGCTACAGGGGACATACCAGGTAACTGTATAACACCAGCCCACACCACTACAGCCAAACCACTGTCACACGCCACCTCACTACTTAGAACACAGCCCAAACCCCAACCTGTGGGTCTACTGTTGTAATTTTTCGCACCACTACACAGCCCAGAGTTACTCACAAAAGCCTACATCCAAATTACCCACTTTAAAAACATGCACCACAACTTGACCTCCAAAAGCACTGCTTTTTACTTAAAATAGATTTAATTTGCAGCTTGACAAATTATTAATAAAGCTGATATTTCAAAATACTGCTTGCAAATGTAAGGTTGATCAAAGGTGATTTGTTTCTACTACAACCCAACTAACTACAGGTCTAAATCCCTGAGAACACATAATGCTTTGAACATGAACAAAGTGTTATTTTGTAAAATGCTCAGTACTGTACAACAACAAATTTGAAGGCTATCTCCTGAAGAACGGAGAGCCTCTCTCTTGCAGTGAGCTATGCTGTCTTCAAATCAGGACACCTCCCAGTAGTGTGTCTGTCTGCCACCATGACATTAAAGCCACTGTACATAACACAGTCACAGTGTACTCCAGCAATCACCAAAGAGCCTCTCAGTGGAAAGGTGGCCTTTTTGTCTCTCTGTTTTTAATGAGCTCAATGTCCTTAGGTGGAGTAAAATCAGCTTTTCTCCATATCACTGATTTCACACCCCACCCAGTTATAATAAAAATGTCCACCAAACAAATATAGGAAATACTTCTGCATGGCTCATTGACTTCAAAATGTATTTGATTCTATTTAACCAGGAGGACTAAACTGTAAAAGTGGAGTAGGAGATGTAATGTGTAAACGTTATATTTGATGGAATAAAAGTGCTTTGGCCATGGGTTGATGAAAGGGTCTATAAATCAGAGCAGTTTTATGAGGAGGGTGTGGTCGGTTCTTTTAATAGAGAGTGTAAGTATGTCATTATAGTCCATGCATGATGGTGTGACTATAAGCATGGCATACTTAAGTTATGGTTTTGAATGTAAGGTTGTGAATGTAAGCAGAAGTACATCATGTAGGAGTGGATGGGAGAATTGCATGCACATGGGAGTATGTACTGTAATGTAGCTATATTTTAATGTCACAGCTGAATGTTCTTGTGTGTTTGTGGATCATAGAACCTGAACACGACCGTGGCCCAGGACTGGTGTCTAGCTCTCCAGAGACTCATCCGGATCAAGGAGGATCAGATTCAGAGTGCCAACAAGTGCCGCTTACGCCTGCAGGTGCCTGGGAGACCAGACAAGTGAGTATTACCTCAATATTACTGGGCCTTGTGATAAAGTCAGCCATACTGTAGTACCATCCAATGTGTGGATTTCATCCACTATCTTCACTCGTGTGATTTTATGATTTAAAGGGGCCAAATTGAACTGTGAGGGCATGTTTTACACTGCTATCTTCACTCCAGAAAACAGGTTGCTGGAGAAATAGCCTAATCCATAACTCGGAAAACAGGCCGTCACACGCAGCACATAAAGATAATAGCTGGTGACAAGTATTTTAATGTGCCTGGGCGCTAACGTTATGATGATGAAGGAGCCTGATGCTGTGTTCACTTACCCTCAAAGAGCACATTACCTGCCATTATGCTCAGCCAGTGTTAAAAGCCTGCCCCCACCCACCTCTGCTACAGCTGGCTGGCAAATGAGGTCCAGACTGCACACCACGATGGGTCATTAACTGATCGTTACATACAGTATTCACTTCCTTGAGAACTCAAATGGAATAATTGACAGCATTAGCCATGTTATTTTCATAAATTAAATGTGTTTTTCACTTGTTCAGAATCATTTTTTAAAATGTTATTGTAGTTCACCTCAAGGACACATAGGAAGTGGTATTTGACTGACAGCTCATTTTGTCATTTTTAGATTTACCAAATCTAAAGGTGCCACAATGGGAGCTTCTATAATTCTCTCACATTGTGGTGAATCTGAATGTGCATATCGTATTGTGCTGAAGTGGCTATGGACTCAGCTGAGAGTAGAGGAGGTGGATCGAGAATGAAGACAGATTAAAGAGGGAGTCGTGCTGTGGCTGCTAGTGTGTGGAGGATGAGAGGAGGAGGAGGAGGAGGAGAGGAGGGGAGTAGCAGGACCAGGGAGGGAAATAGACCTTGATCCACCTCCACCACAGGAACATGGCTAGGCAGGGTGACAGAGGTGGGCACGTAGCAGCGAAGTCCTAAATGTACCCATCGAACCTAAGGTGATAGCTTGAGCAGCAGAGCACTGCAGACTGGTACCTCTTTCTCTCTCTCTCAATTCAATTCAAGGGATTTATTGGCATAGGAAACGTATGTTAACATTACCAAAGCAAGTGAAGTAGATAGTACACAAAAGTGAAATAAACAATAAAATTAACAGTAAACATTACACTCAGAAATTCCAAAAGAATAAAGACATTTCAAATGTCATATTATGTATACAGTTGAAGTCAGAAGTTTACATACACTTAGGTTGGAGTAATTAAAACTAGTTTTTCAACCACTCTACACATTTCTTGTTAACAAACTATAGTTTTGGCAAGTCGGTTAGGACATCTACTTTGTGCATGACAATTGTTTACAGACAGATTATTTCACTTATAATTCACTGTATCACAATTCCAGTGGGTCAGAAGTTTCCATACACTAAGTTGACTGTGCCTTCAAACAGCTTGGAAAATTCCAGAAAATTATGTCATGGCTTTAGAAGCTTCTGATAGGCTAGTTGACATCATTTGAGTCACCTGTGGATGTATTTCAAGGCCTACCTTCAAACTCAGTGCCTCTTTACTTGACATCATGGGAAAATCAAAAGAAATCTGCCAAGACCTCCGAAAAAAAGTGTAGACCTCCACAAGTCTGGTTCATCCTTGGGAGCCATTTCCAAATGCCTGAAGGTACCACGTTCATCTGTACAAACAATAGTACGCAAGTATAAACATCATTGGACCACGCAGCCGTCATACCGCTCAGGAAGGAGACGCGTACTGTTTCCTAGAGAAGAACGTACTTTGGTGCGAAAAGTGCAAATCAATCCCAGAACAACAGCAAAGGACCTTGTGAAGATGCTGGAGGAAACAGGTACAAAAGTATCTATATCCACAGTAAAACGAGTCCTATATCGACATAACCTGAAAGGCCGCTCAGCAAGGAAGAAGCCACTGCTCCAAAACCGCCTTAAAAAAACCAGACTACGGTTTGCAACTGCACATGGGGCCAAAGATCGTACTTTTTGGAGAAATGTCCTCTGGTCTGATGAAACAAAAATAGAACTGTTTGGCCATAATGACCATTGTTATGTTTGGAGGAAAAAGGGGGTCGGCTTGCAAGCCGAAGAACACCATGCCAACCGTGAAGCACGGGGGTGGCAGCATCATGCTGTGGGGGTGCTTTGCTGCAGGAGGGACTGGTGCACTTCACAAAATAGATGGCATCATGAGGAAGGAAAATTATGTGGATATATTGAAGCAACATCTCAAGACATCAGTCAGGAAGTTAAAGCTTGGTCGCAAATGGGTCTTCCAAATGGACAATGACCCCAAGCATACTTCCAAAGTTGTGGCAAAATGGCTTAAGGACAACAAAGTCAAGGTATTGGAGTGGCCATCACAAAGCCCTGACCTCAATCCTATAGAAAATTTGTGGGCAGAACTGAAAAAGCGTGTGCGAGCAAGGAGGCCTACAAACCTAACTCCGTTACACCAGCTCTGTCAGGAGGAATGGGCCAAAATTCACCCAACTTATTGTGGGAAGCTTGTGGAAGGCTACCCGAAACGTTTGACCCAAGTTAAACAATTTAAAGGCAATGCTACCAAATACTAATTGAGTGTATTTAAACTTCTGACCCCACTGGGAATGTGATGAAAGGAATAAAAGCTGAAAGAAATCATTCTCTACTATTATTCTGACATTTCACATTCTTAAAATAAAGTGGTGATCCTAACTGACCTAAGACAGGGAATTTTTACTAGGATTAAATGTCAGGAATTGTGAAAAACTGAGTTTAAATGTATTTGGCTAAGGTGTATGTAAACTTCCGACTTCAACTGTATATACAGTATTGTAACAATGTGTAAATAGTTAAAGTACAAATGGGAAAATAAATAAACATAAATATGGGTTGTATTTACAATGGTGTTTGTTCTTCGCAGGTTGCCCTTTTGTTGTGGCAACAGGTCACAAATCTTGCTGCTGTGATGGCACACAGTGGTATTTCACCCAGTAGATAAGGGAGTTTATTTTTTTACATTTTAGTCATTTAGCAGACGCTCTCATCCAGAGCGACTTACCGTTAGTGAGTGCATACATTTTCATAATTGGGTTTGTTTTCTAATTCTTTGTGGATCTGTGTAATCTGAGGGAAATATGTGTCTCTAATATGGTCATACATTTGGCAGGAGGTTAGGAAGTGCAGCTCAGTTTCCACCTCATTTTGTGGGCAGTGTGCACATAGCCTGTCTTCTCTTGAGAGCCAGGTCTGCCTATGCGGCCTTTCTCAATAGCAAGGCTATGCTCACTGAGTCTGTACATAGTCAAAGCTTTCCTTAAGTTTGGGTCAGTCACAGTGGTCAGGTATTCTGCCACTGTGTACTCTTTGTTTAGGGCCAAATAGCATTCTAGTTTGCTCTGTTTCTTTTTTTATTCTTTCCAATGTGTCAAGTCATTCTCTTTTTGTTTTCTCATGATTTGGTTGGATCTAATTGTGTTGATGTCCTGGGGCTCTGTGGGGTCTGTTTCTGTTTATGAACAGAGCCCCAGGACCAGCTTGCTTAGGGGACTCTTCTCCAAGTTCATCTCTCTGTAGGTGATGGCTTTGTTATGGAAGATTTGGAAATCGGTTCCTTTTAAGTGGTTATAGAATTTAACGGCTCTTTTCTGGATTTTGATAATAAGCGGGTATCGGCCTAATTCTGCTCTGCATGCATTATTTGGTGTTTTTCGTTGTACACTGAGGATATTTTTGCAGAATTCTGCATCTCAATTTAGTGTTTGTCCCATTTTGTGAATTCTTGGTTGGTGAGCGGACCCCAGACCTCACAACCACAAAGGACAATGGGTTCTATAACATATTCAAGTATTTTTGTCCAGATCCTATGGTATGTCGAATTTTATGTTCCTTTTGATGGCATAGAAGGCCCTTCCAGCCTTGTCTCTCAGATCGTTCACAGCTTTGTGGAAGTCACCTGTGGCGCTGATGTTTAGGCCAAGGTATGTATAGTTTTTTGTGTGCTCTAGGGCAACGGTGTCTAGAAGGAATTTGTATTTGTGGTCCTGGCAACTGGACTTTTTTTGGAACACCATTATTTTTGTCTTACTGAGATTTACTGTCAGGGCCCAGGTCTGACAGAATCTGTGCAGAAGATCTAGGTGCTGCTGTAGGCCCTCCTTGGTTGGTGACAGAAGCACCAGGTCATCAGCAAAGAGTAGACATTTGACTTCAGATTCTAGTACGGTGAGGCCGGGTGCTGCAGACTGTTCTAGTGCCCTCGCCAATTCGTTGATATATACAGTGGGGAAAAAAAGTATTTAGTCAGCCACCAATTGTGCAAGTTCTCCCACTTAAAAAGATGAGAGAGGCCTGTAATTTTCATCATAGGTACACGTCAACTATGACAGACAAATTGAGATTTTTGTTTTCTCCAAAAAATCACATTGTTGGATTTTTTATGAATTTATTTGCAAATTATGGTGGAAAATAAGTATTTGGTCACCTACAAACAAGCAAGATTTCTGGCTCTCACAGACCTCCACTCATTACCTGTATTAATGGCACCTGTTTGAACTTGTTATCAGTATAAAAGACACCTGTCCACAACCTCAAACAGTCACACTCCAAACTCCACTATGGCCAAGACCAAAGAGCTGTCAAAGGACACCAGAAACAAAATTGTAGACCTGCACCAGGCTGGGAAGACTGAATCTGCAATAGGTAAGCAGCTTGGTTTGAAGAAATCAACTGTGGGAGCAATTATTAGGAAATGGAAGACATACAAGACCACTGATAATCTCCCTTGATCTGGGGCTCCACGCAAGATCTCACCCTGTGGGGTCAAAATGATCACAAGAACGGTGGGCAAAAATCCCAGAACCACACGGGGGGACCTGCAGAGAGCTGGGACCAAAGTAACAAAGCCAACCATCAGTAACACACTATGCCGCCAGGGACACAAATCCTGCAGTGCCAGACGTGTCCCCCTGCTTAAGCCAGTACATGTCCAGGCCCGTCTGAAGTTTGCTAGAATGCATTTGGATGATCCAGAA